TTTTCCCTCTCTTGATTTACAATAGGTTTAAATAGGTTTTGCTTATTCTCCTGCAATGTATAAATAAATACACAATGCAACAATAAAATGATTTAGCTATGAGAGAAAAATGAAAATTGAAGTTTACCTACCTTTTAATTATTCGACAATTTTTACGAATTAGCAGATGGAGAATATTGGATATTGGACATTTTACTCTAATTTTGGGCAACTTGATGCGAAAATCCAACCATTATCTATCTACTGTCAGTCTCAGTAATGAAAAATCAGTATTACCTAATGTTGTAGGTACATAGGTACTACCAAATATTGACGGAGAAGTCATAGTCTCATAGATTATTTAGGCAGATATACCTTTTGTTGTTGTTGTTGTTGTTTTTTTTTTTTTTTTTGGGGTTTTCGGGGGGGGGGGGAGGCCTAAATTTACTCGAGAAAAAAAAATTCGCACGTATTCTTATCGTTTGACCATTGTTTAAAATTATCATAGCTTAGGTTCCGTTAGGGGTCAAGGGCAAGCTAAAAAGCTACTTCAGAAAAAAAATTAAAGAAAGAAAATAATTGAAAAAATAGGAAGGGAAAAAATACAAAGAATACGGAAAGGTTGAAAAATAGGGAATAGACAAGATTAGATCATAACGATGGGTTAGGCCAAAAATTTACACGGAATATAAAGTTATTCAATTCCGAATAGTATATAGACTTTTTCCGTTGTTTTTCTAAATAATGGCATTGCGCTATTCATAATTGCTTAATGAATTTTATTTTAAAGTTCAATTATGTTGGTGCAGGTCTACACTTTTCAGAGAGAGACAATTGTCAGTTTTTTGTCTTCACCACATCCCTAAAACTAAAGTAGTATTTGAACTCACTTTCATTTATACAAATCCCTTGTGGTCCTTTCTTTCTTTAAACATAAGAGTGAAAATTATGGAGAAAATCAAGGATAAGGAAATTTGGTTGCCTAAAGAAGGCAATTTGGCACCTATAATTTCCTAAAGCATACTTGTCCTCTTTTATTTGGAAAAATTGCTAGTTATAGTATCCTAGTCCTAACAACCAACTTGATTGAGAACTAAAAGTTTCACCTTAGTAAATCAAACGATAAAATAAAGCAAATTAAATTGCATGGTGCATACATAAGGGGCATTATGACTTGACATAATTGTTATCCTCCTCCGGCTTATTATCACTGTTCAGAGTTCCAAACTCAACGATGACAACAAAACACGAGCAATTACCTTCTTTATGAAACTTAACAGAACACCTCATGACAAGAGCTGACGAGAGCCATGAAATCATGTGAAATTCTTTTTGTTGTCACTTTGACTGATACGAAGTTGCAGTACTCTTCATGCAATATACCATTTTGAAAGGATGGATCGATCCATACAAGATTTAGCTATTGCAATAGAACAATTGACCCTTTATAAGTGAGTAAAATATAAGCAAAAAAGGAAAAATTTTATTTTGTGTCTCATACAACTGACAATAGTTGTGTGAGGTCTCTTTTTTGTCTCACAACTGTGTGGTCCCAGAATTTTGTGGACCCAGATGTGTAAGAGATGAGTCCACAAATATGTGAGATAAAAAGAGACCTCATACAACTAGTGTAAGTTGTGTGAGACACAAAATAAAATCACTCGCAAAAAAGGGATGGAGTACAAACTAGCAGCCGGTAACATACACATAATATTCCGATCATTTTCCTTTCTCTGCTTTTTCCCCTATTGTTTTGTTTTAAAATATTTTGCGCATTATGGTTAGTACTTTTGAACTGTTTTCAAACATCGACATTAAGTTTTTTCTTTCAAAATTTTAAATTGACAAGTGAGAAGTATTATTGCACTGACTATTTCTTTGTAATAATAGATACGAACTTAATATGAATACGTTTTTATTAGGAAATTTTACCTCCTATAACAAAGCTTTACACCTATTTATTATAAATAAAAGTCTTTTTAAAATATTATTTTCTATAGCCACCTTTTAGTTTTTATAGCAAAATATGTATTTATGGACACTTCCTACGGTTAAGCCATTAAATACATTGTCTAATATTTTTCTCTCTCATTCTTTCAGTTTATTCTCTCCCAAAATCACCGCTTAATATCTTATTTCTCTCTACACGATCTCTCTCTCACAGCACCATTGTCTTCCCCATTGTTGAACCACGATTCTCTCCTTTATTTGCAGGTTCTCTCTCTAGATTGTTCTCAAACCCAAGAGTAGATTTTGCGGACGGGTGATGGCGAAAATTTATTGACAAATCCCTTATAAACTTGCACTGTAACAGCAGCAGCATATCAAAACTCCACCTTGATTTCCCCTTCAAACATTTTTTCTCATCCGATGTTACTGTCTAGGTCCTTTTCGCCATCACCCATAAAGTCAAAGAACTCAACTTGATTTGCTCCAGTGAATTGACAGAGGAGATTTTATCCAGTGTACAGTGGTTTGTTGAATTGATTTTGAATATTGACATGGGAGAGGAAAGGACAGAGGAGACGGTGGCAGCGGTTAATGAGATTAGGATTAGGTTTGGGATTTTTAGTTTGTACAATGGCTTTCTCTTCTTGTATTTATATGTATTCGATAAGGCACATATTTATACAGTGGTTTTCTCTTCTTGTATTTAGATGTATTTATATATATTCGATAAGGCATACACTGATTTTTATTTTGTACAGTAATTTTTGACTGTTGTATTTAGATGTATTTATATGTATTTGAGTTCATACAACAACATTTTTAATACATTGCTAGTTATATCATTTTGATGTTATTCATCAATTAGTTATGCATTCAATCTAACTGTATTCATCTGTATTTTCAACCTTTTGTATCCATCTGTATTTAAAACAACAATACAATAAAATACAGTAAAATACTCTCAATACAAATAGAAAATCAATGAATACAACCAATGAAATATACCCAATAAAGCAGTAATACCATGTATTAGGAATAAATAAAATATTGTGAATACAAAAATAAATTTGAATACATTGAACAATGTCAGGAAAAAACTTGAACTGTATCAGGAAAAAAAGAGGGACTGAAACTCTAAAGAATGCGTTGTTTTTGGGTGTTTAGCGTCTGATAAATCTTCTCATTAATTAGATTGATAATGTTTTGTGTTAAAATTTTGATTTAGGTTATATTATGAGTGTATCCCGTTAAATTAGCAGCTTTCCGTTATTAAACAACTGAAGAGACCTATTATTACGTTGTATTCATGAATACATGTGAATACAGTGGCTGACAGCTAGACTGCCATGTTTTTTAGCCGATTTTTGCTAGTAGTTCGAATACATCGAATTTAGCAACTGAAAGGTAGCTACGGAAAGTAATTATGTATACGATAGCTATAGGTAGTTAATAGGCACTAACCAATAGTCATTTCTAAAAATTCCCCTTTTTATTACGAGGCTCACTATCATAGGCATAAAGAGCCGTCCTGTAGTTACCCGCTTTGGTCATCTATTGCCATAATGTGGTACAAATGAGCTTATGCGAGTTATAAGTTGCTCTAATCTTGAGCTTTATACCGTAACGTGATCTTAAATGCAACACTAGGGTGTAAAATTTAGCTAAAACCAAAAGATGTAACATGTAAGAAAGCATTAGTGATGAATTAACTTGAGTTATTCCCAAATTGACCAGTTTGATATCTAATCTATCTGAGCAACCAATGTCAAAAAGGAAGTGTCCTTTTGTTTGTTCTTGGTATTTGTCTACCAAATTCATCAAAGAATACATCTTCTCGAGATAGACAAAAAAGGTAAACTACATAGTTTATCCATCTTGCACCCAAATCCCTGTTACACACCTGTTGACTACGGGTTTAACGTTACACACCAAACATTTCAAAAGTGTGTCAATAACACACCACTTTTGACCCATGACAGGCGCATGTTTTACACCGAAAGCAGGCGAGTGAATAATAAAAAAATGTATATGAAGCCTCATTTTAGCGCCACATATCTAGTTTTTTTTTCTTCATCTTTTTCTATCATCATCTTTATTGTCAGGAGCATAAAGAAACAAGCAACAACGATGGTTAAGAAATCACCTGAAAAGAAACCAAAAAAAAAAAGAGAAGAAATCGAAGGAAACCCAGCAATGGTTAAGAAACCCATTATCTCGATTTCTCGACTCGCAAATCCAAATCATCCTGAATCGGGTTGATTAAAATTGATTCAAAACCAACCTAACAAAATCACCGATTCTAGGTGAAACAGTAGTTTTTTAGTAATTGTCGGCCTGATTTTCTCGAGCGTCGGAGTAGTTCTCATCTCTGGGACTAAAAGAAGTTAGAGTCGAAATCCATCATCAAACTTGTTTGAATGATTGTTTTTGTTTTTCTTTCCAGTGCAATTTTGGGTCTAACTATGTCTTTTTCAGTCTTTTTCTCATCAATCTTTGGTCAAGCTTTCATTGTTCTCGTCCTTGCTCCAGCGATGGAAATAAGTTTTATGGCCACCGGTGAATCTGAAAATTATTGAAAAAGATAATAGGGATGTAGGGTGGGTTGGAGGAAGACGGCGTGCAAGTGATACCGGAGGAAGAGCCAGCGTGGAGGTAGGATTGGGGAAAAAGGGTGGGGGTGTTGAGGAAGACATATAGCAACTTTATTTTGTTTTTTTAAAGCTTGTAAATTGGGATTTATTTTAAGCTTGGGTCGGGTTGTCCATTTTTAATTAAAAAATTGTTTGTTTTTAATTTAAATAAGCGCGTGTATACACAGCATTGAGTGTTAACTAGATTGGTCCAAAGTGGTGTGTCATTGACACAATTTTAAAAGGTTTGGTGTATAACATTAAACCCGTGATCAACAGGTGTGTAACAGGGGGACTTGGGTGCAAGGTGAATTGGTAAACTATGTATTTTGCCGACAAAAAATGTGTGAAACAAATGGGACGGAGAGTAATTGCTATGTTTAGTTATCAACAATATCATTTTGACTAACATGATAAGAAAATGCTTGAGCTGAATAAGAGTGAGAACGAAGGAAATAGTATCATAATTCATAAGAGCTAATAAGCATAGTTAATGAAAGCCTTTTCATTTCACCGTCATACATAACTCAAACAGGCATCTAGTCCAAAAAATGATATGGTTTCAAAGTTTCTTGCATAAAGATATAATCTGCGGAAGAAGGCAAAGATAAAAGACAAGCACGTAAGATGTCTAACTTCGAACCAGAAAACACTAGTTCATTCTCTGAGCAGCTTCCTTGGCGAGAACTCTCTCTTTAGCCTTGGTTCTGGCTTGTGATTTGGAGCCCATGACACCACCACCCCATTTCTTTCTGTTCTCCTCGTACTTATCATTGAAGTTGGCCTGAAAAGTAAAATGAGCATCAGATCAAATCGAAAGTAAATAGAAGTGTAAAGATCACCAGCTAAACCAAGCTAAACACGCTTTAAACTTAAGATACCTTAATTGCCTCCAAAATTCTACTGAACTCCATTTTATCTTCATTCTTCACAGTTGTCAAGCATAACGCTGAAGCAGTTTTCTTATGCACAATCTGGAAATCAAACACAATGATCAGTATCTAATCTTTTCAAGAGGGTAAACTTGATTACGATCCTTCCTTATAAAATGTAAACCAGATGTGGCTTACCGATCCTAAACGTGCTTTTCCCTTCACAATACAATATGGAATTTCCATCTTTCTGCACAACGCTGGGAGCCAGACAACCAATTCTATTGGGTCAACATCATGTGCAATCACCACCAACTGTGCTTTATTCTGCAAAGCCATTAATAGCAAAAAGTCATTTTTTGAAAAATTAAACTCCCAAAAGGATTAAGGGCTTAGCTATACCAAAACAAACCTGCTCGATAAGGTAGGTGATGTGCTTAAGACCATACTTTACAATAATAGGTTTCTTGGTTTCAGGAGTTTTGCCTTCTGCTTCGGCTTGAGCTCTTTTAACAAGGCGCTCCTTCTTTGCAGCCTTATCCTCAGGCCTGTATTTCAAAAGCATCTTGAATAGGTTTGTAGCTGCAAATAAACAAGGGCAAAAGCAAAAGTTCAGTTCAGTTGCCATGAAACTACTTGCACCAAGTATTCTTTTTTTCACCAAAGCTTGCACCAAGTACAGCAGAACAAAAGTAGGGCCTTATTAAAAAAGATAGCTGATATTCAGTTCATGAACTTAAAGTAGAGGATAATTAGTTTATTTACTATGTAACCAGACCCCACTTTGGGGAATTTTACTGGGTAGTTGTTGTTGTACTATGTAACCAGACTACAAAAGTGGAAAGATAAGTAGAACAGCTTGCAATGTAGGAGCTAGGGACCACGGCAGCATTACATATCAATCAACTTGCCTAAATGTAGAAATAATAAAATGCCCCTGAGTTTCATCCTATTTCGACTACATCTAAACTGTCAAGAGACTGGTCTCAATGTCCCAAAAAACATGAAGGAACAATCCAGCTGGTCCAAAAGTGTCATACTTTTCAAGATAGAAAAAGCTCAGATACATTATTGATCATAGTGATACTAATTGATGCCAATGTCGTGACTCCAAAAATAAAGAAAACAGAATAATGCTCTCCTTTCTATTTTTTGGGAGAATAAGTGAGTTATTGAATCCCAAACAATAGGAAGGAACGCGGAATAACCATTTTTTACAGATAAAAACAGATCCATATGTCTATTCAGAAGACAGTGGAAAATGCAAACAATTGGCTTTTTCAAATTCTCAACATTATCCACCCGACAAAATTTCAGGTTTTCACCGGCTCCCACTTCAGTACACTGACAAAATTGAAGAACGCCTAAGAAGCTAGGAACAGACACCCACCCTTCGACGTTGTTTAAGTAGATACTCAGTTCATCCCACTGTAATTAACTTATAGTTGAAATAGTCAAACATTGACACTTCTTAACCATGAAGAAGATGGGGATTCTTCATTAATTGCATGTTTATTATATGAATTGAGTTATACATACAACATCAAAAAATTCATCACATTTTCAATGCAAAACACTTTCCACTTGTTGAAAATATGATCAATCTTTAATACTCCCTCCGTCTCCATTTAGTCTATCCAAAAAGAATGACACATTTCTATATGTAGAAACCATCTAACTTTAACGATGATCTATAGCCACATAAATATCTATAACGTGTTTTAGACTACAAGTTTTCGAGACTTTCTTCCTAAACTATGTGCCTAGTCAAACACCCCGCACCAATTGGGACGTAGGGAGTAAATATGTTGCAGAAAATATTTTCAAACTCACCAACCAAACACAAGAAACATTGTTATTTTCCGACAAAAACATCTTACTTTCATGATACTATTCTACTTCATGGTTCAGCTAAGCACTTTGCTAATCAAAAGAGCATTTCCACCATTAAAAAAAAAACAAATTACCATCACAAATTAGGGTTAAAAAACCAGAAGAAATTAGTGGCTCTACTCACCGAGATTTTTGTCGAGGGTTTTAGAGAACTGATTGAGAGCAGGAGGAACCTTCAACCTCTGCTTAAGGATCCTCCTTTTCCTTTGAATCCTGACTACCTGAGGCCATTTCACGAACCGGGTTAGATCCTTCTTCGGCGGCAATGCACCACCGATTCCGAACTGCTTCGGCCGCTTCTCGAACAATGGGTTCACCACTTTCGCTACTGGCTTCTTCTTTGCTGCTACTGCTACGCCCTTCTTTGGAGCCTACAACCAACAAAAAAAACAGCAAATTTATATATTGAAAGATTCAAGCAACAAACAGTGAGAAGAACGTAACAATGGATTTAGGTTTACCATTTTCCTTTCAGACGGCGAGGCGAGCGGAGGAGGATGAAGAGCTACAACTGTAGGGAATAATGGAGTTTATAGGGTTTAAGGTCTGGGCTGATTGGGCCATCAAACAAGGCATGCTGTTGGGCTGTAGAATAATTTGGGCCCCAAGCCCACATTTAATGAAGGACGAAGCCCTTTGTCTCATTGATAGTCCTAAACGCGGTGTTTAAAATGTGAATTCTTAACATGTAGATAACATCTAAGAGGTATTTACCTACGGTAACTATGATTTTAATTAATTGTCAATTGTAGTTATACTAAGTATTTAATTAACAATCGTAGATATACCATATATCTAAAAAGAGTATTACAAGAGAGAAAAATACATTGAGAACAAATGGTGTCTCATCAACATTAGATATTTTATGTATATATACAACAACAATATACAGTATTATCTTACACAATGGGTTCTGGGGAGGGTAGTGTGTACGCAGACCTTACCCTTACCTTGTGAAATAATATAACACTAACTGTTGGTGTCCATGCTCTAATAAGGTTGAACGATGCACTTGTTTAAAATTGAGTTATTTAACAAGAGAAATAGGGACCAATTCTCACTTAATACATTTTTTTCTCCCTTTTCTAATAGTACACCCATGTACTGAAAATCATTGATTCGCCTCTGCGAAGCAGTTAAATTATAAGCAACATATATGCTCCCAAAGAACTCAACCAACATAAATTAACTAATTTTAATGTAATGTATATTCTGATTTCAAATACCAAAAGATTCTCAAAATAAGTATCAAAAAATAAGTAGAGCCACAAAAATAAATTAAAAGAATATCTAACCTAAATACAAATAAAAATATTCTGTTCAAGCAATATACGTATAGTGGTAGCACTTTTAGCATCTTTACTACCAAAAAAAGAAGTTGATAAAAGTACAAGTAAAAAATAAAATGCAAGGGGTTGTTTAAAACTTTAAATTAACAAGGACTAATCTCATCAGTTACATCGCTAGTGAAAGGAATATACTGGTTTCATATTCAATAAAGTACTAAAAATCTATAGCATTTAGAAAGAAAAAAAAATCAGACTAAACCTTTCTAATACGCAAACAAATATATTTGTTGAATTATAACATGAGTTATATTATACGCTCTGATATCACGTGTTAGGGAATATGACTTTCAGCAAATCGTAGTTCCGAAATTGTTTGTTTTTTTAACTTATTGTATTTATCTTTGTAAAAGTAAAACTGTGAAAGAGTTTGTTGGATTTTAGGAAGCATGTGGAACCTAATATCTACTGGAGAATGGGAGAAGGCAAAATTCTATTATAGTGGGATAAATGATTTTCAAATGGTCCCGTTGTCCAACAAGTAAACTTGACTTCTAATCCAGGCAACACTAAAGTTCTTGACTTCATTCATCAAAATGAATGGAAATTAGATGCTCTCAAGGAAATCATTCCTGATCAAGTGCTTATAGTGGTTCTCAAAATCAATACTCAAAGAGAAAATTATATTGATAAGGCTATCTGGGGCATAAATGGTGATAGATATTTTTTCACAACTTCTGCTTATAAACATTATAGACAGAAGAAGAACACTTTTCCATGCCTCGCCAAATTATGGACTAAGGAAGTCCCTTTCAAAATTTCATTTCTCTGTTGGAGAATCATAAAAAAGAAGATTCCACTTGATGACTCTCTACATAGGTTTGGCCTTACTGTTGTTTCTATATGCACTTGTTGTAGGAGTCCAAGAGAGGAAACCATCACTCATGTATTTTTACAGAGTGAACTGGCTACCAGGATTTGGTGAATAGCGGCAGATCCTCTAGGAATTGACCATTGTAATTTGAGTATCAACCCTACACTACACAAGTGGTGGAACGTTAAGCCCAACAATGCTATTCACAGATTGCTTTTACATATCACCCCTCTTATAGTTCTTTGGGAACTATGGAAGGCACGATGCTCGAAAAAATATGGTCAGAAACCTATCTCACTCAATAGAGTATCGCATAAATTTCTTTTTCAAGTTAAAGTGTATTTAGGGAAAAGATTTAGAAAAGATAAACTTTCAACGGAACTGGAATAATGTATGCACTGTGGCTATTAACTACGGACCTAGACTATCTAGTATCATGGTGAGATGGAACAATATGCAGAACAATTTCCTGATTCTACACACTGATGGCAGTTGTATGACCTTTCGGAAGTTAGCTGGAGTTGGAGGTATTGTTAGAAAAAGAAATGGAGATATAGTGGCCTTTGCTAATCCTCTCGAATTCTCAACTAACAATTACAATGAAACACAAGCTACACTATTTGGTATTGACTGGTGTTGCAATCAGAACTTATCCAACTTCTCTCTTTGTTTGGATTCTCCGTTGGTGGTTAACATGATCCAAAGGAAGATCAAACCACCTTGGCAACTAGAAAATAGTTTGGAACATATTATTGATAGGGTGAGGGAAAGGAATATTAAGGTTTCTCACTGTTATAGGAAATGTAATAGGTAATGCATTTGCTAAACACGCTACCACAATACATCAAAATACCATGTTTACGCAAGAAGGTGGTCTACCTAGAGAAGCTTAAGGAGCTCTTAGAATGGACAAGCTGGGGCTGCCAACATTCAGAATCAAACCAGTGAAATATGAAGAACTTTGATCCACCGTGAAGTTACATGTTTTTTCCTCTATGACCTTGTTCCAGTTTTGGACTAGGTCTTTTGTAACAATTTTCTTTGAATTGGTCCTTGTCTTCAGCTTGTTTATCAAGGTAGATAGGTATTAGTTCTAAGACTCTGTTAGTTTTAATTGGCCTTGATATAGAGGAAAGGTTTATGCCCCCTCTTGTTGTACTTTTTTAGTATGTTATAAATAAGGTATGGGTCATTGCCAAACTCCCCACCACCACAGGAGGTGAAAGCCTGGGTGATGGCTTTAATAAAAAAAATGTAGATTCTGATCCAAATTCCAGAAAATTCTCAAAATAAGCATTAGAAAGCAAGTAAAGCTGCAAAAATAAATTAAAAGAATAGTGCCAGCTTATATTCGTTTTCGGTCTCATATCTCATTGTTGCATGTGACATGATTATTTTCATTATACTAAATAGTGACTTCCACTGTCATGAGATTTCTGAAGACATAGGTATCATCTCTAAATTTAGAAAAATATCACACAAATTTACTAATTTCAATTTCTCTCAAGAAGCAAGATAATGTTCATCCTGCAATATTTCCCAATCTATTCTCAGAACCGCCCAATGGAAGACCTAGAGACATAAAATGAGCATAAACTATTTCTTTGTTTTCGAGTTTTGTGAAGGCATCAAGCCGGTGTTTGATTTTTCACGGTAAAGCCTAACTGTAATTTTCAGTTTTTGCAATAAATAAAGAGAAAGTCAAGGGCGAATATATAGGGGAGATTATGAAACAAGTAAACCCATGGTCTCTCCTCAAAATTAGATATTATGTACATTTTTTTAAAATTGGTATAATATTAACTGTTGACACCCATGCTCCATGAATGTTGAATAATGCACTTGGTTAATGGTTGAGTTACTTATCAAGAGAAATATGGATCAGTTCCACTTAATATATTTTTTCTCCTTTTTTTAGTAGTGCATCCATATACTGAAAATCGTAGATTCGCCTTTGCAAACCAGCTGCATTGCAACATATATGCTCCCAAGAAAACTCAACCAATATCCTTTAACTAATTATAATATAAAAGTAATATACATATAGTAGTAGTAGTTTTAGTATCCTTACTACGAAAAAGAATTTGGTAAAAGTATAAGTGAAAAGTAAAATTCAAGGGGTTGTCGACGCCCCCTTTTTCTTCCAAAATGGAGTTCGGAATCGGGTATACGACATTCGGGAGGACAACTCTATTCCCTTGCGAGAATTGGGTTTTTAATTTGAAGAGTCGCCACCTAATGATTATAGTGCATTAGGACACTTTAAGGAAGAATTTGAGATGAAGAACCAGAGTTTGGGTAAGGGCTAGAAATTATCTCGAGGGGAAGGTGTTAGGCACCCCTCAAGATTCATTAGTGTGGTTTCCGGCCATGCTACAATTGTGACTTTGAATGCAAACAAACAAGTAAACAAGCAAGCATTGCAAATACGAGAAAACTATTACAAATAAGGAGCACAAAAGGTTAAAAAAATGCTGAATTTTAAGGAAGGAGCAGTTTAGTTAAAAGTGCAAGTAGGAAGAAGTCAAGTACTTAGTGCGAACAATCTGAAAATTATGTGAAAAACAGAAGTCGAAAGTGCAACAACTTTTTAAGATTCAGAAAATTGTTAAACTAATAAAGAGGGAGGGGTCCTAGGTTTATATATTACATGGATCATTCGCACAACACTGGTACTCAATTGAACGCATAGTGTTATCGTGTAATGATCATCTCCATGTCTACCCTTTCCCACCCCGTTAAGGTATTGGAGCGCGGAATGGTATCGTTTGCCTATCGCATGCTATTACCCGTCCCAAGCAATCAGTCCCGGGGCATTAGGACTTCTAATCCTAAAAGGGGAAGAAAGGGATGAGGGCCTTAATGGAGTTTAAAGGACAAAAATTCTAATCGACATTCAAAAACAAGTAACAAGTAGGGGGAATGAACAGACAAACAGGTAAGGTTCACATAAACCCCGTAAATCAGATAACATCTAGTTCAGCATACCTTTACACATATTGGTTTGGTCTTTGAAATTAAAAAATTAAGCAGCGAGCGAACTGGTTCGATACATACGTTTAGACAGGAAGCCCACATTAGGCAACTTGGATCCAATTGTCAGAACTTAAGGAAAGAGTAAACTGCAGAACTGCTTTAAAGACAATTTCAAGAAGACCAAAACTTAGTTGGAAAATGTTTAGGCAGAATTTTAGAAAGAAACCATTTCAGAAGAGGTGCTGATTTGAAGAACTCAAATGTATACTGAATCAAAAGAGTTTTTGTCAAAGATTGAGGCTGAAAACATTAAGACATTAGAGACCAGTTAACAGATTGTTATTGCTTAAGAGGAATCGGACGAACTTGATGCGGAATCTTATGATATCTATATCTGATTAAAAAAAA